AACATTAATCTTAACACTCCTAAGGAATAGTTTTTATTTGACCCATAATCTGTGGTGATTTAAATTGCAAAATGATGTATTTTGCACGACTTTGTAAGAAAATCATGCAGGTGCTTCTTAAAAGATGATAATGAGGAGTTTTTAATATTGGAAGGCAATTTATTCCATTCCCGGGCTACGGTAATTGCGAACGGTAATTTATTGTAGTAGTTGGTTTTGCTTTTTGGAGTACAGAGTAACTGGGATTTCTGATATCTGGAGGATTTAAGATGTTCAAAATAATTTGTTAAGTATGTCGGGGAACCCAGTTTTAGCATCTTAAATAAAAGACAAAGGTTGTGATACAAACGCCTGTCCTTTAGTGTTAATAATTTGTGCTGTTCATAAGCACTGGAGATGTGATCGTATTTTTTTAATGTTATAAATGAAACGAATACAGGAATTTTGAGCCCTCTGTAGTTTGAGCGAGTGAATCTTTCAAATTGTTATACACAATATCCCCGTAGTCGAAATGAGGACACAACATGGTTTTTACTAACATTTCTTTCGTATTAGTAGGGAGACATTTATCGGTATATCTAAGGGATTGCAAAGAAGCATAAACTTTGCGACAGAAATTTCGGATCTCATATTCCCAGCTTAGATGATCATCAAGTATTAAGTCCAAGTTTTTCACTAGTGTATGACGAGGTACTACAACATAGTGTAACGTATTAGCCAGCGTGCCTCGTGGCATCTATTTGGGGACGCTTGGCAGAGGATTAGCCTCGCCACAGGAAGAAGGGTTTTTCCGTAAAGGGAAGAACGCGGAAACGGGAGACACAAGGCTTTGGGAGTCTTCCGGCTTTTAGAAACTTTTCACTGTTATAACAAGCGAGGGGGTGGCGTGACGTAATAGGTCACGTGGGCCTCGCCTATATTACAGAGTGTACAGAGCCAGTGGGAGAACCTCGTGCGTGTGCACAAAACTTGGCGCCACGACGGTGCATATGCGAGCCAGGCTCGCGAGGCTCGAGTCACTAGTTGACGAAGCCTGCGGACTTTAGGTCCTTGGGTGACTGCGGTCACGGGGGAGCGATGCTGTGTGCGTGCTCCGAGGTGAAGAGTGGTTGAGTGCCACGATTCACGCCGATTCTCAATCGGATAAGATCGCTCCTGCGATCGGGCAAACCAGCCGTTGGTGCGCCAGAACGGACTTGGTGTCCCAGCGTGACATCCGGTCACGGAAGCTAGGCTTTGTGCGCGCTTCAAAAGTAGGAGTGGCGAATGCCACAATCAAAACCATCTTCAATCGGGTTTGGATCGCTCCCGCGATCAGGGGATAGTAGGTCTATCAGAGCTAGGGTATAAGTAAGATATTAAGTGTATATATTTTTTTGTTAATAAATATATTGTTATATGAAAGCTCTGTGTCTGTGGTCGCTGTGAGTATCCATGACGTCACAATAGTCTATACGCACATCAGGAACATATGAACCTTGAAGTTTCTTATGCATTTGAGAAGAGCCAATTATGATGGTTTGTGATTTTAGAAATTTAATTGAGTCCGTTTCTCATTGACTATTTGACTACAGATGAGAGTTCATTATTTAATTTATTTATTAGCATTTCTACCTGTGATGGTTTTCCGGAGATATAAATGTTCAGGTCATCCGCGTACATATGATGACTACATTCCGTAAGTTCGCTTGATAGGTCATTCACGTAAATTAAGAACAGTGGCCCTAACACGGATCCCTGAGGTACTCCTCGGTGGAGAGGGATTGGAGTGCAGATCGTCAACTACTACAATTTGTTGCCTATTGTAGAGATAGCTTGCAATCTAAGAGATGGTGGTATCAGAAAAACTTAGATTTTTGCACTTCGCTATTAGGATGTCGTAATCTACAGAGTTGAATGCTTTACTAAAATCTAAAAGAGTTAATACAGTTACGAGGCCATCATCTCGCGCTTTTCTTGTCTTCAGTTACTTTCAATAAAGATGTTTGTGTGCTTGTACCTCCTCTAAAGAATTGAAAGTTATCGAGCAGATATGAGTCAGATACGTGTTTTACCATCTGTTTTCGAACATTTTTTTCCAGAACTTTAGATGCTGTCGGCAACATACTAATTGGGCGATAATTGCAAGACGCCGAGGTCAGTTCAGATTTTGGCAGGGGGCGAACATGGGCAAGCTTCCACGCTAGAGGAAAGGTTCCCGTTGTTAATGAGAAATTAATGGAGCAGATGCAAATGGTAAAACAAATTTCAATTGTTTGGATGTGATACCATCAGAGCCATTTGCATTTGATTTTAGTGAAAGAACAATTTTACTAACTTCTTGATGATCAACGTTATGGAAATAAAATTTATATCTGATAGCAGGTGAATTGCTTGAAAGTCTCTGAAATGTATTACGCTTGACACAAGGTGGTATTGGTTTTAAAACATTTACAAAGTAGTCATTAATATCATTCAAGGGCATATCGACAGAAATTTCAGAAGAATTTGATTTCGTGATTCCGAGGTCTCTCAGTTTGTATTTACTTTAAAGACATCATGATATTGAATTTTTGCGTTTCTAATATTTCATTTTACGGAATTTCGTAACTTTTTGTACTCTCTTTCATATTCAGAGGTTTTATTACACTCTAAGTTATGGTAAGCTGAGTCGCGTTCCTGCATGAATTGCTTTAATGTTCTTATAAGCCACGGGGCCGCGGGACGTGTCACACGTCGCGTTTTCCATGGTGCATGTTTATCGAAAAGGTCTGATATAATTTCGTTGAAGACTTCTACTTTACTATTAAGAGATGTTTGATTATAAATGTCAAGCCAAAGAGCTTTAGCACTGTCGTCGAACATAGCCTCAGAATTAATATTTTTGTAGTCACGGTAACGGATCGTTTTTTGCTTATATTTAGGACATTTAGAGTATACCATAAATAGCAAATCATGCTTTGTTACTCCCGAAACAGATATCTGACCGTACATTAATACTTTTGAAGGGTCTGATACAATCGCGTGATCCTTGTTTCAGGTCCTAATGATAAGTGAGTAGGGCCAAATTCTAATATTTGTAAATTGTATGAATTAATAGTATCAATAAACTTTTCGTCCGAGTTTGTGAGCGGTACCTTCAGATCGCAATTGAAATCACCCATGATTATGATATCCTGATATTTACTTGCGAACTATATTCGCCGAAGGTCTACATCAGGACGTGTGCCGGTGGCGTGATAGGCAGTGAAAGTCCGTTGCTGAATCCACAGGTGAAATGTGCTCCAATTCGGTAGTACAATCTCTTTATACTTTCTTTAATTTTACCTCTATTTGATGGCCATCGACTAGTATCTATTTGGAAAATGACAATTTCTTATCTTAAATTTATCCCTTATAAATTAAAACATGTCTTGGCCTTACTACACTGGTCATAAAGTCTGTTTTCCAACTTATCTATCCTTTCCTTTACGAATATATTACGGCATTCTTGGCGTTGTGACGAATTCTGCGAGTATTTCATATTTTCGTTCTGGAGCTCTTCACGTTATGACACTGATATTTTTCTGTTCATATTGCTGCAATTCGCTATCTAATTTTCTAAATAATCAATTTTTAACTTGTATCCCATTCTCTATTAATCATGGATCACACGTCCATTTTTTATTTCTCATAAATTAAAAAAAAACAATGCTGACGGCCGTAGCTCCTGCTATCTAATCCATCCAAGTTTTAACTCAAATACGCTCCGTTTTCATCTAAACCTGTACTAAAGTTCCCTTGCTTTTGTTACCTGAACTCTATGCGCTGTCTCCCCCGCAACCGTGCACATAGCCCTCTCTTGTCATGTCAATATCCTATGATATTTTTAATAAACTTTGTTTCCCAAAAAGTTTCTAAATTATCCAAAATGTATTAAATAAAAATAGATTATTATTTTCCGATGCCTCGCATCCCCAATGTCTCATTTTAATTTCTATCTCGAAGTAATTCATCATATTTTACCTGTTAAATTGCGTTAATGATGTTGATTTTAGAATATAAAAATCCCATAATCCCCCAGGTCGGCAATTTGGGATGCGCTTTAGATGGTAACTTGCTCTGTCAACTCAAGTACCCCTCAACAGAAGCGCTAGGCAACCCGCGGCGCCATCAAGTGCGTACGGCTGCATATTCTGCTTCTGCAGTAGTAAAATATCTGCCGTAATTTTGACACCCGATATTACATTACTTGGACGTTATCTCGGACAAGTAAAGCAAATTTCTCCAAGACAGTGTCATGGCGAGCCTATGGCCAATCTTGAGAACGTTGTAACGATAAGATACTTGACCAACCATGTCCACAGAACAAAACATACTCGCGAGGAAGTCTTTCATCTATAAGAATTTTTTGCAGACTGTAGCATTAAACTTTATTAGCAATCACGGTGACCAGTGATGTGTGTGAAGTATAAAACGATTTTTTTGCATGTTTACAAAATGAAAGTAGTTCAAAACTGTGGTGCCAGAGTATGTGCTAAATTCCAAAAATGCTACATCCTCTTAAGTCACATTTGCCCATCTAAAATTGCCCACCAGCAATATTGCTATGGATGTATAATTATCTAATCTTCTTTATATAAATAAAAGGGAATGTGCTTATTTACGATTAATTTAATGTGTGATATACAGGGTTAAATTTATTTTTCTCTTTAGTGAATTAAAAGGTTTTGACTTTATGTAATAGTAATTTCTACGCGAGACAACATACGAAACACCCTGTCTTTAATCCCTCCCTATCTCGTTTGGAATAAATAAATTACTCTCTTTAGGGCCATACACCTACCGGTGGTGCACAAGCCCATGCCCATGCACCCGCTGCATTAGACAAGTACATCACAAAATATATCTTAGGGAAATTTGGACATTCAATTGCATATACACATAGAAATGAAAAAAGAAATCCTGAATATTTCAGATAATGGTAATTTTTATTTTTGTAAGAGCTATTATACATATGTATATATAGATGGAACATATTCATTCATTCATTCTCAGCCGATCTCAAGCTTGGATGAGCAAACCTAAAAAACTCTTTACTAATTTAGTAACTGTAGTTTCAATTAACATGGAACTAACATACTTTTGCTGATAACAATTGATACTGTAGCTGCACAAAATGCAGAATGATACAACATCTTTCCTCATACAAAACCCCTAAGTGCCTTTGTTTCCATCCCTTCAGTCTCATAAAAATACAACAAAGTTCATTCATAATACAATTGCTACCAACAGAACACATTATAAATCCTTATTTATGATTTTTATAGTACCGTTAGATATGCAACAGTTATAATTAATCATTCTATACAAATATTTTTTACAATACGTATTACAGAGGAATAATATATGTACACATAGGCATTTGCAAACAAACTGCATTAGACCCCATTTCTTTTAGGATATGAATACTTACAAGCTCTTATTTGTAATATCATTAAATATCTCCAACTCTTTTATATCTTACTAGAGACTAAAACCACACACTGAAGCTGAAATATGTTACAGAATGTGCATGATACTCCGCACAAGTACTATTCACTTACATTAAGAAACAAATATTTTTGGTTCAATTTGGGCCACAATTATACAGAAACACAAGGGTAAATTTCAGTGAATGAAGACAATTTCTAAAATGAAATAATGCTTTTCAATTCACAGCCTGACAAAGTATTTCAAAGTATTCAAATATTTCCATTTCCTGTGAACATTGCACATGACAATCATAAAAATGTTTTCTCCCCATTAGTTTTAAGTTTGAGTTTTTTTAACTTAGGCACTTCATGGTTTCATTTCCAATATTACAAGTTAACTATTCTAAGACAATTCTGTTGAACATAATTTTATCCACGACATTAAAAATTATTTTTTACTGGAAGGTGAACAGTATTTCAAAATATTTCAAAATATTTCTAAATTCATTTAATATTAGGGGAACCTGGGATCACATAAGCCATTATTTATAATTTTCATACTTCCTAATTACGTTTACAAAACATTACTTCATGGAGAAAAAAAATAGAAATTTTATGAAGACTTAATGCCCAAAGAATCTGAAAAGAGAAAAAGAGGAAAAATATAAATACACTGAAGACTAGACCGTTCATGATTTTACAAGAATTAATTTGCAGGTACTATTACAACAAATACACACCCGAACAAAATAGAAGTAGGTTCATTTACTATTATATAATGATCCATACATATGCATTAATTTCATCATCAAAGACCAGAAAATAACACAAAAGTTTCACATTTTGAATTACATAAAAATTGCAAATATGAATACATATGTATTGTTATGAATATTATTTATAAAGGAAAAGACTATGCTTTGTCTCAATTTCCTATATATCAGTTTGGTGAATCAACACTTCAAAATCGAACAATAATCATTTCTATTATCAATGACTTCAATTTCAATGATAAATTCAAATATCAATGACTTCAATTTCAATGATAAATTCAAATATCAATGACTTCAATTTCAATGATAAATTCTAATATCAATGACTTCAATTTCAATATCACATTCAATATTTAAATGACAATATTAAATGCTAATTAATAACTTTGTCAAGAATAATTAACATCAACCAAGTGATTACGTTTTGCTGCTGTCTTTGGACATTACACAACAGTCAAATTGGAGATGTTTTAAATAAATTTAACATTTTCTTTTATTTTTCTAAACGAAACAAAATAAAAATGTTCTAGTGCAAATATAATCAAGAGCAGAGAGGGATGTTCATTTGTACACCCACAGGAACTCAAGCTCTGCTAGTACTCACACCACTAATCTCAGTGCAAAAATACAAAATATTTTATCATTTAATGTAAATGATTGTTAATGTGTGTGTAACATACTGTAGGAGAAGTATTTTGTCCAGACTTTTTTAAATGCTGGGTTCGCTACCCTAAGCCATATACAAGTTGAATTATGAATACAGATGGCATGAACTTATGAGAAAATATTCGTTTTCATGTTCATAGAATCTATTTGCAAAGGCAAATCAGCTGCACATTTTGGTTATTATTCTGCATAGTGCCTTCATGAAGGAATAGACAATGTCGCGAGAACATGAACGGTAAGAATAACTATATTCCAGTGGCGGCTTGCCTAGGTTGCACGGTTGGACGTCCGCCAGATAATCAAAAAAATCTTAATGTTAGGTATACAAAATTTCATTTAATTACATTCAACATTCAAGATACTGCAGCAATATCAATGTGTATGAAATCAAAGAGTGCCTGCTGAGTGCACTGTCAGGCTTCCATCATACAAGTGAAGAGAGTAACTGGTTTCACCATACTAGTATAGAGAATAACTGGCAAGAGAGGGTCCGCACTGTTTCCGCACAGCAAGGAGGTACAGGCTTTACAGTGCACGGGTCTGGCTGTAGACCGCAGCGCTTCCGACTGAGGAGAATATCAATTTTGTATTCGTCTGAAACTAACTGCATCTCAATTTTATGGATATCACGTGATATTGAAAGCACACAATTTCAAGAAATTTTAAATAGTATTTAATGCATTATTTATGTTCGGAAAATTTATTTTAAATTGATGTTGGATTTTTGATTCAAAATGCACATTTGATTATGAATCCTTTGTATAATGTTTACCATTCTAAAAGAAAGTTGAATTCAAAATAGCAATGGCCGTTGTCAAAATTTCTTGAACAGAAATATTCACTCCCATGAAATAGAAACTATTTTGCATCCGAAACTAACTACAGTTTTGATATAACAGTTCTGTTGTCAAAATAACCAAACCCCACTCCTCTAGCATCTAGTGAAATGAAATCTCAAGAAAACATGCTAACTAGCCTTGCTAGTCTTGAATTAGAAATGTTGATCATTTGGTTGTATTTTCATTTTTGTTTGTTTGCTGCTTTAAGTCACAAGATTAGATTTCCCAACTGGCTAATAAATTGACTGCACTTTCCGTAGCTGGTTCATTAAAAAACCAGAAATTACAGAAACATTACATCACCTCCAGTAAACAGTCTGGAAGTAAAATTGCCACCTGCCTTCCTTCCTCATACAAATTTCTAAGCTTGAACAATAACAAGTTTAACACAGTTTTGAAGTTGGTATTTGCATTATATGTATAATATAAAAATAACAAACAACAATACAAGCACAAAAATGGAACAACAAAGTTATTTTTCAATAATTCTGACAAGTACTATAAGATTATTGAGGCAAAGTAAATCCTGTATTTTAAACAACTACTATGAAAATGTAAACCTAAGCGAACTAAGTGAAAATAGTTAATGATACATGGATTAACACCAGATAATACAGTAATTATGATTTTAAATGAAGCAACGAAACTTTTATACTGTATGAAATACAAAGACCAATTAGTCAACACTACCTTGAACAACATCAATAACAAAAATATTCAAAGATGTCTTTTGAAGTTTGTTGATTAATTAATACACAAATTCAATTTACAAGGATATAAATGAAATCTCTTATTTATTGTTACAAAATGATTAAAATTTTGGAAATTAGAGAGTCACGCTATGAACTTGGCAAACTAACGAGACAGATATATGCATACACATAAACTTGAAAATACATACAATAATAAAGTCCCATAATGTCTTTTAATTTAAATTAACTTTGTACACTGCAATCAATATTTCCGATATGAAAACCATTTGCCTGGGAAGGTTTGCCAGTAAAATAAGACATGCTTTTTAGCAAGCGGTATTTTAACTTGTGATCTAAAAATTACCAGTTACACTTCACTCACATTTCATATGTCAAGTGATTACTCCCTCCAAACTGATTCTTTGGTTTTGGCCATATCTCAACTGCAATAAATAAATCTCTATTTAATTCACTTCTAGATTACTAAGTGTAGCTTATTAATGAAAGGTATGTACAAGCAGACTTTTACATGCATACAAACTTTTTGGACACTAGTTTGCTTTAACTAAATTTCAAGATATATTAGAGAAAGTTCAAAGAAACAAAAATGAAGTGGCACACAGATCATTAATGGCAAGCTCACCAAACTAACAAATTAGTTCTTCAGGAATGTTGCTGGGCAGTTTGGGCTAGTTGACGCAGTTGTTTCAACACAGTCTCCAGCAGTTTCTTCTTGTCTCGCTCACTTTTCTTCAACACTGAAAATACAGTCTTCTTATCTGCTTCTCTCAACCTTGGAAACAAAATATAATTAAAGCTTAATACGAAAGTTAAATTTCTGTTCAATGAACTCTGACAAGCAATTATGAATCCAAGAAAAGAATTGAGGAAACATTTGCAAACAGAAAAGCATCAAATAATTCCCCAATTACTCTTATGCATTTGCAAATTCCAAAAGTTTCAAAGATAGGGGAAACAAAAATGGTGCATTTTCAAATGCACTCAAATTCCATTTTCTTCAAAAGTTTCAAAATAAAAAAAAGGGTTTGCTCTCTCTAAAATATACTATTAGGAGGTATGAAATATGAAGAAAAAAAACCTGTTTTTTGATCGAACACCTGTTTTATGCAGTATTACATGAAATGACAAGTAAACTATCATGTTAATGGAAATGTTTTATAAACATTCTTTTACAACATTTTGCAAAAAGTTAGTAATATTTAAGAAAAATGTTTATTTATGGGTGTGAGAGACAATGTATGTAGCACTGAAATGACTTCAGATGAATGTTACAAGGCCAAATAAATTGTTAAAAGAAGTTCAGATTTGTATATTCTAGGGGTCGTTTCAGCAAACCAAGCTATCAGTCACATTATCTTTAATTTTTCATGCAAGTGCATATCATGGCTTGACCAATATCTCAGTAAGTTGACCAGTACAGTTGTGCCATACGAGGTGAAGAGTGTATGTACAAGATTTGTTGGTGTTGTATTCTGATTCTGTCATCATCTATACCAAGTCGTCTAACCTCCAGCCCGCATGCCATTTATTGTGGCTCACAAAAAGTTGCATCCATATCAGGCGAGAACACTGCACGACCAGCGTAAGCGCTTTGTCCTGGCAAACACCCCCTTAATATAAAAATAAGTTAAGTTGAGATTTAAGATTTTCTAGTAAATTCAAAATCATCCCAGTGTGTTTTCCTGCATCATATGCATGTTACAGCCTAGTATCATGCATGGTTAGAGTCAACAATACAGATAGTGCATGGCCAAGAGACTATTGTTCCAATTTAATTGCATTTTAGAATACACTTCAACAGGGTTGTCCAACTGGTGGCCTGCAGTGCCATTTATTGTGGCCCAAAGATGGTTATTAGTCAAAACAAAACACACTTTCATCCATATCGTGCAAAAAAATTGTGCGTCTAGTGCGCGTGCCCTGCCAGGGTTAACATCCCCTTTAGTGTAAAAATAGGTTAAGTATAGACATGGACTCTTTTCTCGTTAATTCAGAAACTGAAAATCATTTCACTGTGTTTCACCGTGTTATGCATAGTATGGCCCGATATCCCGCATGATTCCATAAACCCCTTTCCCAGTTTCAAAAACAGGCGAGATCAACAATCCAGGGATGTCAGGTGTCGACCACCCAAATAATGAAAATATGGCCCGCAACCATATTAAAGGGTTTAGTTGCGACTTGTGTCTCGGGAGAGCAAATTGCGAAGCCACGATTGTATGCGAAGAGACCCGAGTCGCTGTCAGTGAGAGTCGCATGGCGGAAAAGTTCCACTTAAATTTGAAACTTAAAGACTTATGACCACAAAACATATTTGATGAAAAACACTATTATTAAATCTTTTGAAATGGGCAAAAGAATAAAGTAATGAATATAAGAATTACAATAAATTAGCAGTATTAGTTATATTATTGTATGTTTTTATAAATTGTTAGCATTTTCCTGAATTCATAAACAAAATATTAATATATGAATATTAATTAAATATTAACATGAACTATATAAATGTTAATATAATTAAAGTTAATAATATTAATTAAATCTTTTCAAATTGGCAAAAGAATAAAATCATGAATATAAGAATCACAATTAATTAGAATTATTCGTTATATTATTTTATGATTTTATAAATTGTTATCATTTCCACACCACTTGATTGAAGTAGATAACCTTTGGCGCGTTTTTTTTCAATGCAATACTTTTTGCAATTTCATCTCTTTCATCTTTAGATAATCTCATATGACCGAGTTCACATTTATGGCCAACATGAGTTTTAAAAAATTCTATTACTTCATCTGAAGGAAGATTCAATACCTCCATTCTAGCGGGACAGTAACCATTTATTTTATTACTTCCCAACATTTTTTCGTGACGAACGATTGAACCTCTACTTTTAAATACTCCACTGCGAAAACAGATAAATTTTAACTTCAATGTAATTTATTTGTTAATTAATTAATTTTAATTAATTTATTTACATAGTGGATGTACACCTATTGGAGATATCACTTTAAAAAATCCCGTCAAAGATTATCTACTTCAATCAAGTGATGTGGAAGTTATAAGAATTTATAAAAACATAAAATAATATAGCCAATACTGCTATATTAACATTTATATAATTAATGTTAATATTTAATTAATATTAATATATTAATATTTTGTTTATAAATTCAGTTTTCCATTACATATGTTTTGTGGTCATAAGTCTTCAAGTTTCAAATTTAAGTTTGAAATTTCCCGCCCCGCGACTCTCATTGACAGCGACTCGGGTCTCTTCGCATACAATTGTGGCTCCGCAATTTTCTCTCCCGAGACACAAGTTTAGTTGCGGCCCTTGAGGTCTTGCATGATGGACGCACCTGCACTACAATATACAGTTTTGAATAGCAATTAACCAAGGCAGTATAGTTGTATAACATTCATAACTGTTAATACAGAGGATTATTAAAAAATATGCATGAATTATCAATCAAATGCTATCAATTCAATCTCACATTCAACAGTTAAAAGTGCCAGTTTTAGCATGCGTCACTTGTCAATTACAATTAATTAATGCCACGGTGTTGATCTTGGTTGAAGAGAGTTAGAAACAATCTGTAGACTGTTGAAATATGACAGCCATAATAACAGAAAGCTTCAAGCACTTCAATGCACTGCTTACAGGTTAATTCAGAAAGAATGGACTGATCATGTTATTATATAAACTAATAGCCTACAATATTATAAAACCTTGGGATATCTTATGAAACAAAAGGTCTGAATTTCATTCTATCACCCATGTTCATATGTCAATCATAGTTACAACTTTCTTACTTTTCAAGAAGGATGATTGCAGTATTGGGATTTACTTGTTGATATTTACTGTTCTCCTGACCATAATCATGGAAATATGTAGGCCAATCCCAAGTCATAAACAAATCAAGCAACTGTCGTAAGTCAGCAAAGTACTGAAGTAACATGCCTTCCTCAAGTCCTGCCACTGGTTCAGAAGCTGCAAATTCTATAACAAACACACAAGTTTATATTTATAGAAAACTTAAGGATTCATAACTACAAGGCAACAAATGTAATTTGTGATGAAACCAATATAATCAATGATAAAATGCCAGTAATCCAAAAAGTAATACAAGAGGTTTCAAAATTTTCAAGCTAAAATGAGGAAATCTTCATTCTGTTAGCTGGATATAATTGCCAATAATTCACGAAACAATCATGATCATGATCAGAACATAATTAAATGTTTATTCAAACTCACGTTCACACTGTATTGTGTCAAGATTGATTTGCTGAAGAGCTCCCATTGAAATTTGCTTGACATCTTCACTAAGCATAAATCCCAAAACAGATTTTGCAATATGCTCACATGCAGACTTGCAAGCTTCTTGAGCTACTTCAGGCTACAAGAAAGAAAAAAAATTCAGTAAGGGTTCTAATGAAATTAACATAATTATTTATAATGCCAGGTTTAGCAATAATGATTAAATAGATTGCTTGCATTACTTCTTAATTTGCAATTTTCGGAAATCCAGAGAGTTCTCTTAAGTGTCCTTTGTACTTTTTGCCCAAAAAAAAAAAAAAAAAAAAAAAAAAAAAAAAAAAAAAAAAAAAAAAAACATCAGGTTTTTGAGGATTTTAACTTTATTTTTATAAACTATATTAATTTCTAGTACAAATTGCTAATTACTTGGTTTATCAAAAATCTGTACACCTTCTTTAAAGAGCAAATTTGTTAAAGATAAAAATCTCCATCTCCAATTTTGTAACTTTTCAATGTTAAATTTTGCAATTTTAGAAAATACAGAGTTCACTGAAATGAGATTAGCACAAATTTCTTTTACAGTCCTTTGATACATACGAGAAAAAAGTGTAAAAAAGTAAGGAGACAATTTTTGATAAAATTAAATTTTAAAAATTACCTATATTATATGCAAGATTACACAACACATAACAACAACAACAACAGCATCATTATTTCTGGTGAGGCTCAGGCTGTAAGGCCTACTCTTCCACCTAACTTTTTAAATATTTACATTTACATAATTACAAGTGAGGCGTTTGGATGGAAGTAATGATAACTGACATTCATGTAACTTACAGAAGTGCAATGATTGTATCCACTAATGGAAATGTGCAGCACATAAGTAATGAAACAAAGTGAATGTATTATCATTGACTATTTTCTGGACTCTTTAAAGTTAATGTGATATAAAGTATAAACATGATAGAGAAGATGACATGAAGCTAACATGATATACAGAGAGCCAACATATCTTATTTACAAGAAGGGTGTGGTAAATCAATAATTTTACTTTGGCAAAATGATCAGACGTCATCTACACATCTACATTCATACTGGAATGCAAGACTTGGGTGGATTATGCTAAAATTTGATACCAAGACAAGAATGTCTTGGGGGTCCAAATGGGTGACTTGGGCCCTGGTGGGGTATATTGAGGCTCATAGGTATACACCATTAAATACCAGGAAAAACCCTCCTGTAATGGGAAGCCTTTGTAGTAAGGCTGAGTCATCAAGTCCCTTCCCAAACCTCCTCGTAGTGGCCCTGGATTCTCTGCGTGGTGAGAACTTACAGAGTAACGAAAAGGGTGGGACGAAAGGCAAGTTTCCAGCGCCTTAAAGCGAGAACCATGAGCTAAGGGAAGGAAACCCTGACAGAAAACCAAGGGGGGGGGGCTCCGTAGGTGTGGTGAAACCAACCTTCCTAAGGGATGACAACCCTGGAGGAAAAAAAAAAAATCTGCCTCCAGGATTAAGCATGGAGGTTGGACGCAGGGCTAACATTCCAGCTCCATAAAAAAACTTCAGTTCAAAGCGATTTAAATATGCCTCGGACCAGACCAAATTTAAATTTACAACAAAGGCTACGAAAACGGACAATGAAAATTGGAACATGGAATATACAAGGCCTACGAACAAAGCAAGAGGGGGGTCATCTCAGAAATTGAAAAAATGAACCTGGACAATATTATACTTACGGAAACGAAGAAAAAAGGGACAGGGGAAGAAATTTTGAATGGATATCTTCATATTTGTAGTGGTGTACCCAAAGAGTTTAGAACAAGAAGTGGAGTCTCTTTCCTTATGGTAAATGGACAAAATTCATTAAACAGATACAGAATATTAATGAAAGGATACTAAGAATAGACATTTTTCGTCATAAGTTAACAATTTTAGGGGTATATGCCGTAAATGATAATGCACTTGTAGATGAAAAGAATAAGTTCTTTCAAGACCTCAGCGACAATATAGTGAGTATTCCATATCAAAATGAAATAATATTAATTGGAGATTTTAATAGCAGAGTAGGTAATAGACAACTCAAAGTAGTAGGTCAATACAGAGAGGAAAATATTAATGACAATGGAAAAAGATTAATCAACCAATGTGAGGAACATGCACTATGTGTAGGGAATACGTTGTTTGGACATAAAAACATCCACAAATATACACGAATAGATCCAGTAAGAAATATTCAATCTGTAATTGATTTA